CTCCAGTCTGTCATAACATCATCTCTCTTCCTCATTTTGTCGTTACAGATGGTACCTGGCCGAGAAAAATCAAACTCAATAATTTTGCAAAACCAATTATAGATTCAGATACCTCAACCTCAATAGATTTTGATCATACTTTGAAAAAAATCGTTACTTTCCAAAACTAGATGGCATTCGAGTTTCACTCGATTGCGAAGTTACAACTATCGATCATCGAAAAAAATTGATACTGTATAAAAAAACGAATAATCATTTCTACGATTATTCGCACAATGCTTTTTCCACGGGATTCCAAAGAGCACTGTTCATTTACCATTGGTTGTTCTTGCAACTGTGATGAACAAAGTCAGCTTATCGAATAGATGGTGGCTGACTTTTAATGCTGTCTCCATTTTAATCACTTTAAAGCTTGAAAAACAACAAACTCCACAAAAAGGAAGGACTTGTTATAAGGAAAATCGTCCGTATCCCTCATAAATCCAATATTATCTTATCTGTTTTGCCATTTTGACTGTCAAAAATATTTAACTAATAAAATCAAACCTTCTAATGCATTGTATACTATATAGCACACGACTGAGCCAACCGAAATTTATCTATATTTGATGTCCTCAAAAAAGATAGAGTTATAGCGTGTTTTCATGAAAAATACCCTATTCGTTTGTTCATATAGTTAGTTGCTCTGTATGAAAAACTAAGCTGTTTCAGTTCTCTATCGAATGAAGTATGAACATATGAGAAACGATTGTTCATTGTTTATCTTTATGTAACGATATAATTCATGTTGCATACCAATAATAAACGTCCATAACGAATATTACATAGTGCTCTTCTCCAATGGTAGCAGTCCACTTCGAAATTCATATCAATCGATAGATCTGGACGAGATCTACCAAACAATGATAAGAAACTCACGAAAAAGAAGTGAGAGAGTATGTCTATTTTTCAAAAAATACTGGAAAAAGTTCTATGTTGAATATTACTAACCGGAAAACTTTCTTTGTCTAAAAATAAATCAATAGTTTTTTGTTTTCAATTACACAATGTACAGCATATAAAAGTGCGATACGAGGTGTTCGTTGCGATGCGTTTTCAAAACATGGTTCAAATCCACCCTATGGCATGTTTGTTATTTGTTTCTGGAAAATCGATTAATTACTATTTTTCTGGTACAATTCGAATTATTAGTACCTACTCTTGAAGTATAAGACAGGAAATCCTAAAATTCAATTGCGTCAAGTCAATTTGATCCCAATCAGACGACTTCAAGGTAGTCCAATCTCGATCATTGATCGATCCCACGATATGTTCTCGCTTAAAGGTTAATCGAGAAATAATCTTGAGAAAAATATGTACGACAACGCGTAAGTTCAGTATGTTTCGTCGAGTTGGTTATATCTCACTGTATGCACAAAACAAAAAAGTGAATGATGATTAGCTAATAGATCACGGCACATTTTCATGGTACAGTCTTCGACATATTTTATTTTAGTATGTTGACTGAGTGCAATGTGAAAATTTCAAATTATCTCCGATGGAAAATATTTCATATTGTATCGTGTTTTTTTTTCCGAAATGAAGATCATTTCAAAAGTCTTTCTCATTTGTATCACTCAGATGCTTTCTTACAGTGCTCGTGTATGGCTCGATTATGGGCAAGATCCGATAATGGTATATGGACGCATTTTGCCTGGATATAAACTACATTTCCACCGTATACAGTCATCATCCAAACGTTTTCAAAAATAAGAAAATGATCTGGAAAGATTCACATTCGTTCGATTTTAACGACTTTTTCAATAGGAT